CGCGCTGGAAACGGAGCGTCTCTGTAAGTTTGTATCCCTGGTGATGTTTGTGCCTGGAGAGCACTATATAAGTGGTGCTCTTCAGGCACAATCTTCCTCAGCCTACTCAAGCTCAACTGATGAGGGGTGAATTCCCCGAAACACTGTGTATTGAGCAGGGAGTGGTGCCTTCTTGCAGGTTTGCCGAGTCGAAGGTTCGATGGACTTCTCGTGTGCTCTGGATGGCAGTCGTAAGTCAGTCAAGTGTCAAGTAAAGTCGGCGGAATAGCGCGAGCTCCGGTGTGGGGATCAAACCCTTTCTTACAAATCATCGCCGAAGTCGCAACCACTACTTCGTGCTGTTGTGCCCAGCGCGGGCTTGCGACTAGTTGGTTTGGAGGTGACAGCGTTGCGAATGACCGAGGGTCCTCGACGTCTGTCTCACCGTCCAGGAGCGACACTGACTCACGCTGCTATCTGGTGTTCACGAGGTGTTTGTCGCGCTGGAAGCGGAGCGTCTCTGTAAGTTTGTATCCCTGGTGATGTTTGTGCCTGGAGAGCACTATATAAGTGGTGCTCTTCAGGCACAATCTTCCTCAGCCTACTCAAGCTCAACTGATGAGGGGTGAACTCCCCGAAACACTGTGTATTGAGCAGGGAGTGGTGCCTTCTTGCAGGTTTGCCGAGTCGAAGGTTCGATGGACTTCTCGTGTGCTCTGGATGGCAGTCGTGAGTCAGTCAAGTGTCAAGTAAAGTCGGCGGAATAGCGCGAGCTCCGGTGTGGGGAGCAAACCCTTTCTTACAAATCATCGCCGATGTCGCAACCACTACTTCGTATTATTATTATTATTATTATTATTATTATTATTATAGAAACAAATGAAAAGTGAACCCATGTTTGTAAAAGTAAGTTTTTCTCTTATTTCGCGACATAAATGCGAACGTATGGGTGTGTCTTTCACGGGCCCCAAATATCGGGAAGGATTAATTATATTCTACCAGAATTTTGGGATTAACAACTTGCGCTCATGATGCTTCAACCCTGAAAGTTTGAACAAAATCGGAAAGAAAGTGGTTTTTGACCACTCTTTTTTCGTATTTCTCGATTTTGAATCTGAGTGGATTTTGTCATAGACAGAGCATCTCTTTTGTTTTCTTCTGATTTTCGTTCAGTGAAGGCTTCGCTTTTTCAGAAAATAAGTGACAATTGGAAAGGCAGTAGAAGCGTGAGCAGGCACTTGTTGATCCAAATTTCATCATTCATGAACAATCAACACTGCGTTCACATGATGTGCGATTTGAAAATAAAATACGCGCAGAGCTCGCAGTCACCCACCTGAACTCAGCTCGCACAACCGTCCTATGTACTTCGAAGTGGGATTGAAAATAAGCCCGAGGCGAATATTTTTTCTTATGTTAACGGCCCCTGTAGTTCTAGCACAAGTTTCCTAGTTTGTCATCATTCACTCTGAATTGACAACAGCTAGTACAGGGCCTAGGGGCGTAGCGTAGCCCTTTTCAATCTGTTTCGGAAGGTCGTGTGACGCAACATAGCGTACAAAATTCACCCTATTTTCATTTTTGTAGCCAAGGATACTGGCTCAACCAGCGCCTTTAGTTTGGAATTGTTGCGGTACACTGCATGAGAGACAACGAGTTTGATTCAGCAGTCTATACATACATGTAATTCTCCTTTGATCTTGAACTACATGTACTATCGGCTACTTCTTACAAACATTTTGCTGGAGCCTCTGACATCTGGATTTGCAAACAAACATGCTTCATTTCCTCGAATGGCATGGAGCAGCAATGGCATGGAGCAGCAATGGCATGGAGCAGCAATGGCATGGAGCAGCAAAGCAGCAATGGCATGGAGCAGCAATGGCCGCATGGAGCAGCAAAGCAGCAATGGCATGGAGCAGCAATGGCATGGAGCAGCAATGGCATGGAGCAGCAATGGCATGGAGCAGCAATGGAATGGAGCAGCAATGGCATGGAGCAGCAATGGCATGGAGCAGCAATGGCATGGAGCAGCAATGGAATGGAGCAGCAATGGCATGGAGCAGCAATGGCATGGAGCAGCAATGGCATGGAGCAGCAATGGAATGGAGCAGCAATGGCATGGAGCAGCAATGGCATGGAGCAGCAATGGCATGGAGCAGCAATGGCATGGAGCAGCAATGGCATGGAGCAGCAATGGCATGGAGCAGCAATGGCATGGAGCAGCAATGGCATGGAGCAGCAATGGCATGGAGCAGCAATGGCATGGAGCAGCAATGGCATGGAGCAGCAATGGCATGGAGCAGCAATGGCATGGAGCAGCAGTGGCATGGAGCAGCAGTGGCATGGAGCAGCAGTGGCATGGAGCAGCAATGGCATGGAGCAGCAATGGCATGGAGCAGCAATGGCATGGAGCAGCAATGGCATGGAGCAGCAATGGCATGGAGCAGCAATGGCATGGAGCAGCAATGGCATGGAGCAGCAAGTGTTTATTTTGCTTTTTGTTTTTTACTAAGTCCACTGTGCTCCTGAATGAATGCGGAAAGTGGTTGCGGGGCCCTGCTGCTCAGCCGACCTTGGTGGTCTCGGCGTCTGCACAGACAAAGCGCGCCAAGAAAAATAGAGAAGGACATAAGAGAGAGGGAAAACAAGAGGAGAGCAAGACATGTATACGGAAGTGCTGCGTCCACTAGTATTAGCGCCCACACATCCACTGTGAAAGAGAAAAGATTAAAAGATATGTTGGATAGGGAAATGGAGTCAATCAGAACTTTTAAAAGCTAAGGAAGTCAGTAGCGTGTAATCTCACATGACAATTTCATACGGACAAGATCCGCTGTGCTAACGAGTTGGTCATAGCAAATTTGGGACACTAGGAAAATCAAAGAGCGTCAGTTGCTCTCTGCCAGTCAAGGCGCAGCAGGTACTTATGGCACCTTTCCTTGAAGGACTGCAGCTGTTGGGGGTGCGGTGTGGATCGCAAGACGTGTCCTGGCAGGCTGTTCCACATTGGGATGGCGCAATCGGGGAACCCATTGCGGAGGCTGCTTCATGTTCGTGCCGGGAGTGTTGATTTAAGCTGGTTCGGGTGTTGCTGAGCGGTCTTAGTAGCCAGCCTGGTCGATGGTCTGCACGGAGGGCGTGGGTCGGCTGGGGCTGGTAGCATGCCCTTAAGCGGATTCGTCGGGGGAATAATTATACGATAGCTTGAAGAGGAGTGACAGGGATGCAACCATTCTGCGGTGCTGCATGCTGGGAAGCCAAACTCCCGGGCCGATGATCTTTAGCGCCCTGTGCTGGATCTTGTCAAGCGGGAGGTACTGGAGCTCATCCAAATCAAGGAGCAGTACTCCATCAGAGGGCGGACAAACCTCTCTTGTACCGTGTCACTGTTTCCATTGGTTCTGCTGAAATGAAATTGCGAATGCAGTGATTGAGGCCGCGTTCCTTTTTGTCTAATTGGTAGAGTAGAGTAGAGCGGATGTTGGAAAAAGAAAAGACGGAATGTGGCAGTTTAGTTAACTCTTTTTATTATGAACGCAGATCTACCCATTTCGGTAGAACGCCAATTTTGCACTACAAGCGCGACATACGATACTTTGTGGAAACCAACTCTCATGGTCGAACAAGTACAGAAATACCGTACCTCTACCAATTTCCACCGACTTCTACCAGCCTCAAACCTGGTAGAGCGGGTAGAGGACAGTAGTATCTACAGCTTGGGGTAGAAAAAAAGGCGAACGCATCTACCGAAAGAAGTAGTTTCTAGAACTTTCTACCCAAACCTGTAGATCAAAAGCAAACACCCTCTGAGTGTGAGCCAGTGTTGCACAGCCCTTTCCTTTCCTACTGCTCGAGAACGGGTTTCTGTATTCACAGAGCCAATTGCGTGAAACCACTAACCAGCTGCTGCTGTCTCCTAGTTCGTGTAGTTAAAAAATAAGAAAAATAAGAGCAAACGCTGGTTGTGTGAAAGCCGGTATGCTGATAGGATGGTTTAATAACACATGTAAAAAATCATGTAGTATTGACTCCTATTGGTTGTTGCTAGCATACCTAGCAGTCAACCTGATATTCCTGCATAGTTCACTTCTGGGGTGGGAGGGGGGGGGGGGGGGGTGGACTGCTTATATTTGACTCCTTTTTAGGGATTGAACACATGCTTGGGTTTGTCGTGATAAATCTAATAGTTATTGACTTTGTACTAGGTCAATATAACATTAGGGAATACTAACCTCGTATTAAGGAGACCTCGGTTTCACCCCGGGCTCGGTCTTTCACTCGGCTTTATTTCCTATTGTATTTTATTTCGCCGTCCAATGGCAAAAGCCAATACGAAAAGGGCGGGGGGGGGGGGGGATATTAGCCAACCTTGGCAAGAGAAGGAAAGAAGAAAGAATGTACATGTAATAATCAGAAGAAAATAACACATAACAGGTGTGAAATTGATCACTATGGTAACTATGGTGAATAGTGGCGAGACAAGCTAGAAAAACAAGGCGAGAGAGCTTATACCTGGACATGCCATCTTCGTCTTTGAACCGTCTAATATTGGATAATTGTCTTCATTTCCATATGGACCTCGTACTCAACTCGGTCTATACGTATCATGAACAACATGCCAGTTCATTTCAGTATACTGCTCCTCTTGGGTAAGGTGTTTATCGAGCAAAGCGTGGCCGGGAAGAGATTCCGGTGCCGATTCAGGAAAGCGCACTTTGTACCCCACCCACTGTGTGCGTACCTTCAGTGCCCGTGGGTCTTCCTCCAATGGCGGGGCCAGAACTAACTTACTTGCCACCTTTCAAAGATGGTGGCACTAGTTGTCATGTTAGTTTCTAGAGTAGCAGCATCTCCGCTGGCCCCACCATCTGCGTGCCTCTGGGGAGTGCGGTGCTGGCCGGTTACACACAACCAGCAAGGAACTGAGACATGAACTGGTTGGGCCACATTCGTTTTTCCTAATCGTACAGCTCCTCGACCTAATTGCAAATTTCAAGCTGTTGTCTCCGAAACGATCATTCATGAAAAGAAGAGGTAATTATCATTTTGAAAATTATTGTTACATGAACTGCTATTGGGTATACATGTAGTCAGATCGATAATTCCAAATGTGACAAAGTCTGTTGGAGTACATTCAGCGAAACGCATGCGTGAGCATACCTCAACAGGAAAGACACAAACTACGAAATTCATAAGGAGATATGAATGATCAAAGAAAAAACATCATAAACCCACTTTGAATGGTTTAAAAAATTAATAATAATAAGTTGTCAATGGTACGAAACGAACTGGACAAAACGCAAGGCGGGGAATAGCAGGACGCACATACCCGTACTGGTGGAAAGAAGAAAAAGTGATTAAAAATAATAATAAAATTTTGTCAATGATACGAAACAAACTTGACAAACGCAATGCAGGGAAATAGCACATACTCGTAGTGGTGGAAAGAAAAGAAACCGAGGGCTCTACTCCGCATCCGCGCAGGAGATCGTGCCGATATTAGCAGCCTCAGCGGCACACAAGCACTTCAAGAGATAGTGGGTAGAAAAGACAGCAAAGACTCTCCATGTCCACTAATGAAGCCGTGCTTCTATTAGCAGCCTCGGCAGCACAAATATGATAAAACTTGGTAAGAGTACCATGACCACATGAGACATGGTAGCAGCAGAAATAGTATAATTATCGGTAGTAAAAACATAGCAGCGCTCCTAAAAAAATGACTCAAAAAGCTTGTCTCATGAGGATTGGCCAGCTGTCTGCAGAAACATGGCAGACTTGAAAATTGAGAAATAAACCAAACACTGGATTGCTAAAGACAGGGCGGCGAAAGGCGCCTTGAGTATGTATTAATTAAGTTTGGAAATATAAGAAAGGTCAGATCGATGCCGAGCACAGACTCATGCTACCTCTGCAAAGTGTTTTGTTGATCTTTGTAGGCTATTTTGCTAATGACGGGGGGGGGGGGGGGGGGGATAACTTCATTTTGACTTAGGAAATTTCTTTTCGTGGAGTTCAATGATGGGGTCTATGACGGATGAATCAGCGCAGGTGGACGTGTCACCGACTTCACCAGAGATGTCGGCAGCGATCTTACGCAGAACGCGACGCATGATCTTTCCCGATCTCACTTTCGGCAGAGCTTTCACAATCTGCATGACACACACAAAGCATACAGAGAAATATGGAAAAGCAAACTTGACATTGAAGGAATCCGGATGTACGAGAAAAGCAGCATTCTTCTTTCCATTGAAGAATTTAGGTGACAAGCAAGGCCGAAACTAAATTGACACCACACACCTAACTTTTAAAGATCAATGCATGGAAACAACGGGGTATTGAAAGTGCTCGGGAGTAGTTCGTTGTCCAGGAAACGACCAATCAGCGACATTCCCGCCAAGGGCCTTATCAGAGTCTAAAGCCCGCTCAATCGTAATTTTACTACTCTTGATGACGCGTCGACGGCCTTGGATTAGTTTAGGGTTGGTTCACATAAGCAAGATCGGCGCCGCAAGACAACGCAAGACATCGGCGGCGAGCCAGCTCCCGATCCGTTGCGCATACGGTTCGAGTACCAAATCTACTACAAAGTAGTACAGAATGTGCCCAAATGCTACGACAGGTTTGCCAATTGAAGCTTGAATTCTTTGTTTCTTCAGTAGTTCAAGGTCTTTCGGTGATGGCCACTCGGTGCTACCTTTTACTGGAGATCATGAAACTACTTCTACACATTTTATTGCAGTCTAGTAAGCGATTGTGTCGAAATTATGCTTGCAAACGTTGATGAAGTCACAAGAACTTGCCAATGTATCCATCATATTTTTTATTTGTTTCAATTGTATTTGTCTCATAAGTTGCACACTGGTCAAGCCGATCATCCGAGAAGGACGGGCTGGTATGCTGACTCATTTGCCACCTTGAAGCGACTACAAGAATGGCGAACGGACCTCCTTTCTAGCTTCAATTTAGGACAAGTATTGGTTTGATATTTTGACAAAGTCTGGCTCCCGGCAGCCGGCGATCACCGGCGCGAACGGTTCACAAACCACTTTTGGTCAAAATTGTACGGGATCGAGATTGCAAGAGTTGGGCACTGTCCAACTTTGCCGGCGGTCCCTTGCGATATTTTACCGTATGATTTTGTTACGACTGCACTGGTTCACACAATCGCAATGCGCCGGGAGAGGTTGCAAGAAGCCCACTGCCGGTGACTCCCGGCGCGTACCGGCGATATGTGAACCAACCCTTAAAGCCCGCTGAATATACTCCAAACTGGTGTGTATGCATATAGTATATATATGTGTATAGCATATAGTATGCATATAGTACGGTGCAGATAATGAACTCTGCAACGTACGGGGTACTACTAAAATCAACGCATTTCAGAAGTGTGTACGGTTTTTGCCTCCCGTATTCTTCGATATGTACGATTTTCCTTTGTCAACTGCTGGCGGAAACCTATAAAAACCGAAGATCAAAGTCATTAGAGGTATCGACAAGGGGCTCTCAAAGCCCCTAAATAGCTCCACAAGCTATGAATAAGAATGAAGCTCGCAATAAGGCCTCGGTCACACTACGGCGAAAATGCTGCGTCAGCGTCAGAATCATGAGCTTTTCCATGGCAACTGACGCAAACGCGGGAAGTTTGAGCGTCAGACGCTGCTGCGTCTGACGTGGGGAAATCGGCTGCGTTGCCGCTGATGGGAGTGACACTTGGCGGAAAACAGTGTTTTTCAAGTAAAATTAGTTTCAAGACAGTTGCTTGAGTTGAGCAGTCATTCGACATTCGTCTCTTCAAGGTTTGTTTTGTTCCCTCTTTTTTTTCGAGAGGAGTCTGTGGACCTACGAGGCCAAGGCTGCTCTGCTCCGAACCTGGCGGAAGAGCGAGGCGTTTTCTGAGAAGAAAATGATGTCGAGAAAGGACCAGTTGTTTGAGTGGGTCATCGGCCAACTGGAGCCTGTTCGGACTTGTGAGTGTTGTGTTGTCGTCAAGAGCCCCAAAAAGGACAACCAGTATGAAGTCAGGAGAAACACAGCTGCGATGCGGACTTTTCTTGCCTGATCCATGACACTACAACTGAAAATGGCTTCAAATTCGGAAAGAAACAACAACGATCGTGCACGCGTGGACCTTTCGTCTTCTTGGAATCAAAAATCAATGAAAATTTGAAAACTTTGTCCGACATTTTTTTGTATAATAAGCAAAACGCCGGTTTCCGTGGTAATCCGTGTCGATATTGAGTTTCCCTGGTGATTTTGTGACGCAGACAAATGCGTCAGGCCGCGGCAGTCATGAGCTGGAAGAAAAACAAAACACTGTGTGACCCCGCGTCTGCGTCAAGTGCTGCGGCTTGACGCTGCGTCCAGCTTCAAACTTGCCGTAGTGTGACCGAGGCCTTAGAGCCCAGCGTTTCATTTGCTTCCCTTCTACTTTTAGTAGTCCTCAGTTGTGCTGAGTTACCATAACTTACCAGAAGAAAATATTATTTCATACCACACCAAGTCTCTCTGCACACAAACCACAAAACTACACAATATATTGATACACAAGCATAATGGAAGTGAGATAATGCATGTAACCTCGTTCTAAAATAGTTAGTGCACGGCAGGGAGGGCCTTATGGCTTGTTTGTGCCCTTCAGGGTAGCCCTCGGGCCTACGGCCCTCAGGCTAACCTGTCGGGCACTAACAAGCCATAAGGCCCTCCCTGCCATGCACAAACCTATAAATAGTGTGAGTGTAGCTCTGGCAATATGATGGCGCACGTTCCCCTTGAAGGAAGTCATGTTTACATGTCCACACCTACTCACCAGGGTCCTGTCTGGAGCGGCAAAGCCTCCAACTCTTTGCCTGACCACTTGGCGCATGTCCTGAATGACAGACTCGTCAGATTCAGAGGTTTGCTCCTTGACGACTACAAACGCATAGATCCCTGTGGAGCACAGCACAGCATACAGCATACAGCACACAGCACACAGCACAGCATACAGCACACAGCACAGCATACAGCACACAGCACAGCATACAGCACACAGCACAGCATACAGCACACAGCACAGTATATAGCGCAAAGCACAGTATAATATAGCGCACAGCACAGTATACATGGAGCAAACACACAACACAGTGATGGTACCATTCACACAAGGTAACACTACACCCTGGCATAACCAGGCATGGTGGCGGCCTGGCACAAGCGAAACTTTCCAAGCTGGTCGTGTTTCTCAACACAATTGCATAGCAAGCGGTAACGCAGACGAGCGAACTTTATACTTATCTTTAACACTACACATGCACACCTAGAGCTGCGGTCAGACTTTATCTTTTTTAAATTTAGAGTTTTTTTTAGCAGTGTCAACGGTTGCAGTTCCCCATCATAACAAACTGATGTGCTTCTCCGGCAGGGAGTCGTATCCACACTATATTGGGTACGACTCCCTGTTCTCCGGTAAGATCAAACTTGGCCCACTGTCCACTGCCCACTGTCCACTGCCCACAACCCACTGCCCACTGCCCACTGTCCACTGTCCACTGCCCACTGCCCACTGTCCATTGCCAGTTGATGAGCACAAAGACAACAATTCATACAGTACTGTAGAACGGCGAATTTTCGAGGGGAAGTTTTTTTTAAGGGTTTTCTGAATCTGGACCAATTTGCGATGAAATATTTTAGCGATCTGTGTTTCAGACTTAAAAAGGAAGGATTATAGTGCTGTGCAAAATTTCCGATTGGCGCGGCAAAACTTTAGCGAAAACACTCCTTTCGCTGATATCGCTAAAACATCACCGTCGCTACAATTAGCCGTTTTACAGTACATGTGCCAGGTTAGCCAAAAGTACATGTTACATGGCCCCAAGAGTACATGTTACATGGCCCCAAGAGTACATGTTACATGGCCCCAAGAGTACATGTTAGGGTTGGTTCACATATCGCCGGTACGCGCCGGGAGTCACCGGCGGTGGGCTTCTTGCAACCTCTCCCGGCGCATTGCGATTGTGCAAACCAGTGCAGTCGTAACAAAATCATACGGTAAAATATCGCAAGGGACCGCCGGCAAAGTTGGACAGTGCCCAACTCTTGCGATCTGCCCCGGCGCCGATCCCGTACGATTTTGACCAAAAGTGGTTTGTGAACCGTTCGCGCCGGTGATCGCCAGCTGCCGGGAGCCAGACTTTGTCAAAATATCAAACCAATACTTGTCCTAAATTTTCCTAAATTGAAGCTAGAGAGGAGGTCCGTTCGCCATTCTTGTAGTCGCTTCAAGGCGGCAAATAATTCAGGATACCAGCCCGTCCTTCTCGGATGATCTGCTAGACCATTGTGCAACTTATGAGACAAATACAATTGAAACAAATATAAAATTATAATGGATACATTGGCAAGTTCTTGTGACTTCATCAACGTTTGCAAGCATAATTTCGACACAATCGCTTACTAGACTGCAATAAAATGTGTAGAAGTAGTTTCATGATCTCCAGTAAAAGGTAGCACCGAGTGGCCATCACCGAAAGACCTTGAACTACTGAAGAAACAAAGAATTCAAGCTTCAATTGGCAAACCTGTCGTAGCATTTTGGCACATTCTGTACTACTTTGTAGTAGATTTGGTACTCGAACCGTAGGCGCAATGGATCGGGAGCTGGCTCACCGCCGATGTCTTGCGGCGCCGATTTTGCTTATGTGAACCAACCCTTACATGGCCCCAAGAGTACATGTTACATGGCCCCAAGAGTACATGTTACATGGCCCCAAGAGTACATGTTACATGGCCCCAAGAGTATGTAACTCTGATCTCCAAGCCAAGGGTGCTGTGCGCTGAATTCGCAGCAAAAGGACGATAAAGCTGACTGTATTCAAATGTTTCTATGGTCAAGGCCCAACGACTTCAGACATAATACAGTAGTTTAAAGGCAGTATCTGTACGCGATGTATTACTTACAAAACTGTCTCCCCGAGAAAACACACTTGGAAGCTGGCAACCGTCAATACTAGGGACCTTTTGCACTACGTGTACGGATACGAAACGAATGCTGATTCGTCACCTGGGTTCGAGGATTCGTCAGAGTCCCTACCGAGAGCTCGTTTTCACCAACGGAAGCCTCTTCATTCGTGGCGCGCTCCGAATCCGTCAGGTACACATTTTTGCCGGGTACACATGGTTTGCCAGGTACACATTTTTTCCCTCGATTCCATGATCCATGCACGTGTGTGTGCAAAAACGCGTACGCCAAGCTACCGGCGGTATTCGTAGTTGCCACGGACATTTGCATGACGGCTTGCGAAACCTGAATCTGCTTTCAACGAAACGAGGACGAGCCGAATCAAACTTTCGCTTCGCATTCGATTCGCAGCAGATGCGAAAGGTCCCTAATGACGCAAAAGGCCCACATTGTACCCCAGTTCTTGGATATAATGTGGGCAGCTCGCCGTGTCCCAGACCCCAGGAGAAGAGTTGCATACTCTAGGGTGGACTATTGATTACCGGAATACAAGTGTAAATATGCAGGCCAACTAAACATGACCTACTGGAGTTGCATGCTCTAGGGAAGACATTACCGGAATACAAGTGTAAATGTGCAGGCCAACTAAACATGACCTACTGGAGTTGCATGCTCTAGGGAAGACATTACCGGAATATAAGTGTAAATGTGCAGGCCAACTAAACATGACCTACTGGAGTTGCATGCTCTAGGGAAGACATTACCGGAATACAAGTGTAAATGTGCAGGCCAACTAAACATGACCTACTGGTTCTAGTCTACCATGATATCATGCTCTTCTTCAAGTCTCTGCTACTGTACATTTGAAATCCTATGAAAAGTCGTGCACACGCAAGCAAGCACGCACGCACACACACACGCGCGCGCGCGCGCGCACACACACACACACACACACACACACACCAGAGACACGTATACACGCCGAGCCAGAATGCATGCATGGGTTGCCTTACCTTCTCCAAACTGTGGGTGTGGGTAGCCGACAACACCGGCCTCCACGACAGCGGGTACATTGACCTGGAAGTAGCATGTGGGAGGTAAGCACATCAGACAGGTATTAAGACAACGACGGCAATGACAACAACATCAACAACAGAAGCAGAAACAGCACCAGCAGAAGCAGCATCATCATCATTATCATCTGCAGCAGCAGGAATAGAAGCAGCAGCAGCACAGCAGAAGCAACAGCAATGACAACAACAAAAGAAAGTGCAGTTAACTTCGCTAATAACGACTGCGGATATAACGACAATTTGCGAATAACGACAGAATTTCCATGCCCAGAGCAAAGTCCCATCCACCTGTAATACATATATGGAGACTTCGGGCATAACGACACTTCGCGAATAAGGACACTTTTCTGATGCCCCGCCGAGTGTCGTTATAAGCGAAGTTGACTGTATAGTATTCATAGTGCAGTGTAGCATAGTGCGCAACTTTCCCCACCACCTAACTGTGTACCGCAACATCTTTCCTGTCTTCCTTTTCCCATCCCTTGATCCGTCTGTCTGCTTACAAGCTTACCAGAGCATCTTCCACTTCGGCCGACTCCAGACGATGTCCCTTAGGATTCATGACATCGTCAACACGCCCCATCATTTCATAGTGACCATCACTGTCTCGACGGGCCTCATCGCCGCTGAAGTATAGTCCTGGAAAACCAACCGTCACAGAAACACACACACACACACACACAGTCAACCACACTGCCCCAGCGCAGATCAACCGGCAACGGAAGCTCCCATAAAATGCTGCAGACAAAGTTTCGGGAGGAAGGAAGGGAGTGAGAGAGAGAGTGAGAGAGGGAGGGAGGGAGGGAGAGAGAGAGAGAGAGGGAGGGAGGGAGGGAGGGAGGGAGAGAGAGAGAGAGAGAGAGAGAGAGAGAGAGAGAGAGAGAGAGAGAGAGAGAGAGAGAGAGAGAGAGAGAGAGAGAGATCACTTCCACTAACCCGGATGCACATTCCAGTAGGTGTCCTGGTATTTCTGATGAGAGCCATATATGGTTCTAGCCATGCCAGGCGGCACTTGACTCAGGCACAGATGACCATTGACGTTGTTACCCTCCAGTGGCTGACCACTTTCGGGATCCACCAGGACCGGCTCAACACCGAAGAACGAACGCATTGGCATGCCGGGCTTCAAGAACGTATCGCCTGCTGGCCTGGGAGTGAGGCTGATGCCACCAGTCTCTGTGAACGCACACATGCACAGGGCACCAAGCACAGGATAAAGTCAGGAGGAGGAAGAGAGGACGAAGAGAGGACGAAGAGAGGAGGAAGAGAGGAGGAAGAGAGGAGGAAGAGAGGACGAAATCATGCAGAGTACAACATGCATTCCAACATACATGTACACAGCAGGAATACTGTAATTTCACAATTTTTCGGTGTACTTTTATTTTCGGTACTCTCAGTGCGTCTGTTTCATACCTAAAATTTCAATACACCGAACAAACATAATCCAATAGGGAATTGCTTCTCTGTACCTAAAATTTCTGTTCACCTAACCTGGCCTTTTGCCCTCATACCGAAAATATTGAATGCCTAAAATTTCTGAAATTAGAGTATGCAAGCCAAAGTGTGCTACTCGGCATACTGATTTGGGAAAGCGTAATTGGCCGTTTTACGCCAAAATACGGTAAAAGCAGATAGGAGAGGTCACACTGATGCAATGTAAAGCCTAGTTCACATTCGATGCAACGCCGACGGTACGGGACGTAAGGGCTTGTCGGGAGGGCTGGGCCATGGGGTGAGCTGTAAAATCCTGTACGATTCGTACGACACGACATGCAGCAGTCGTTGCGACGTTCAACGTCGAACGGCGCGAGTCATAAGGCACGGTCCGTGACGGGGTGACTTTCGGACCTAATTTCTCGTTTTCGGGACTTCTTTTCAATTATTTCTCCTTGAAAGAAGCGGAATCAAGTTCACAATACCAGTTTTTTATGAAGATCAAAAAAATTAGCCCTGAAAGTTGTGGCATTCAAATAATAGCCCCAGGAAATGATAGAATAGTTCGTCTGTCACGCTTCTGAACTATGCCTAAATACAATAAGTGCCATGAGATCTTATGTTGCTAAAATTCAACTCAAGTCATGCTAGCCATTCTGTGAGTTATCATGGGAAGCGCAGTGTTCGAAATGCTAAACATATCCAAGTACGAATCGGGAGTAGTCGGCGCACGACGCCGTCTCCTGTTCACACTCGAATTGCAGCCGTTTTGTACGCTTGCGTCCCCGTCTACGGTATTAAAAGTTGGATTGATCCAACTCTTCCCGTCGCTTCCCGATCTGTACGGTAGTACGGTTGCGTTCCCGTTTCTGGTGTTCACATTGGACGCCGTCAGACGGTCCCGTCGCTTCCCGTCGATCCTTACGTCGCGCCCCGTCGAATGTGAACTAGGCTTAAGACTGCAGTCATCAATCGTGTCCTGCATGACTCACCAAAAAAGCTGTAAACGACAACGGATTCTTCTTTCTCAAAAAAAACACAGTGGGAGCGGTGTACTTGTAGTGTGAAACAATGATACATGTTGCAGGTCGATGCAAATAGCACAGGTTGCATTCACGTATAGACCTATAGGCATGTACTAGTGTAGGTACTAGGATGTGGACAGCTGCTTCCAATAGGTCTTACCAGTCTGCCACCAAGTATCAACAACCGCACAGCGCTGCTCGCCGGGTAGGTCGTGGTACCATTGCCAGGCTTTTGCATTGATAGGCTCACCCACTGCCGAACACACATACACGCACACACACACGCACACGCACATACACGCACAGGATATCAGACATTGGCATTGATAGATTCAGTGTCACCCATTGCAGTACACAGACACAAGTGGTCCAATGATTTGCATTCATGTAGCAAGTAGCAAGACTGCAGACACAATACTACTAGGCTACTGCAAATCAAAACTGGATCTGGGTGTATCTAATAAACACTATCTATTGCATGTATTTACGTGTAGAAAACGACCTTCGAACGTGTATGAGAGATTTGTTGTTATTCTTGTTAAGTATGCAGTCAAATGATCACTTTCTAGGTGTGAAGATAGTGCATATGCATACCTGGGCCCAGTGTAGGTGTGAAGATAGTGCATATGCATACCTGAGCCCAGTGTAGGTGTGAAGATAGTGCATCTGCATACCTGAGCCCAGTGTCCGCAGTGTCGATCGGTTATACTTGGTTACATACGTGTCACTGGATGTCATCAGCATACGAATAGCAGTGGGCGCCGTGTAGAACTGTTTGATCCTTAGCCGTTCCACCATCTCCCAATAGCGACCTAGGAGAAAGGCAGTGGCGCAAGGCATGACAGAAAGGTCCGAAGCACAACAGCTCACTCAGTACTAACACATACAGGCAAAGGCTGCTGCATGTAATGCGCACGGTACGTTAAAGCACACCCTAACATATGCTAGAAACTGACCTTGCCACTTCTCTCTGAAGATGACATGATAAGGAATTGATCGGGAATTACAATACGGGCAACCAGAACACCTTGCATGACTTCATAGGTGAGTAATCCGCAATAGGCATAACACCTCTCCATAAAAAAGTACACAATAGCAACAACAGCACCACCAACAACAGCGGCATCAGCAACAAACAAAACTGAACACTAGCATCCTGGTCGTACAGTAGTGTACTCATACTAGGAAGAGACGGGCAGAAAAGACTCACTAGTTTATCTGACCTGGAACAGGGCAGGCAGGCAGGCAGGCAGGCAGGCAGGCAGGCAGGGAGGCAGGCAGGCAGGCAGGCAGGCAGGGAGGCAGCCAGCCAAGCAGGTAGATAGGCAGGTAAGTAGACCAGGCAGGCAGGCAGGCAAGCAGGCAGGTAGGTAAGTAGGTAGACCAGGCAGGCAGGTCGATAGGTAGACCAGGCAGGCAGGTCGATAGGTAGACCAGGCCCCCATAGAGCACTCACCTGGATCCGGGTAGGTAGGCACACCAGGTTCATACAGAACTGTGGACACGCCGTTGCTAAGTGGACCATAAACAACATAGGAATGTCCAGTGATCCAGCCAATGTCCGCCACACACGCGTACATATCACCAGGAGAACAGTCAAATACATACTGCAGAGAAGAGAGCAACACAACAACATGAATCAAATCATTACAAATGAACTTAGCGGGCCACTGTTGTTGCAGAGGGAAGGGGGGGGGGGGGGGGCAAAGCAAAAGAAAGAGCGCACACTGTTGCTTAATCACCGATGGCCAGCACCAACCTGCTCTGTCGAGTGGGACCTGCATTTTAGGATGTGCAACCCTGCTAAAGCCACCTCCTTCTACCAACAATGCATGATGTTCTAATTCAAAGCAACTAGTTCAGTGTGTAGTGACTATGCACCACATCAGCACACGCAGTACGACTGTACACTGTACCTGATGAGTCAGACCGGCATAGAGCAGGTAACCGGCCTGGGTGTGCAGCAGACCCTTCGGCGGACCTGTGCTGCCCGATGTATAGAGAATGAACAGTGGGTCCTCGCTGTTCATCACCTCCGGCATGCACCACGGTAGAGCATTCAGCATGGCCTGCAGTAGCACAAAGTGCAAGCATGAATGGCACAGTGCAATCATGAATGGCACAGTGCAAGCATGAATGGCACAGTGCAATCATGAATGGCACACATGGAAACTTGAACATTAAAAAGGCCCGTTTACACGAGACAAATTAGTACGCAGACATGTTGACCCTACTCAAGGAGAAGCTGCCGGAGACTGCCGAGGGAACGTAGCACAGACCGGACATGAAGGATATGCCTCATAGCACACGGTAATGGCTTCATCTCTCCGCTCTCCTTACAATGTTCTGGTCAAAGGTCATTTTTAATGGTGAACACAAGGACAAATTTACAATAGTAACAATACAATAACTTTTTTCTTGGAGACAAAAAGGCAACTAACCAGTACAATGGTCCTTTTAAACAACATATAGGTGATATAAGCAGCAGAAGGTAGCTTAGCGAGAACAAACACAGAATAAGGGGGAAAGTGATGATTCTCACACACATAGAAACACAACGCTGCACCAGTGATGTGCGTGTGAAAGGGTGTGTTCAGCGTGATAGGCACGGTGACCTTTTTCATATTCACACGTTCACGCACGAAAACCAAACCTACGCAAGCAGACACAAAACAACGTTCAGGTTGCTAGGCAGGGGTTAGTTCAGTTCACTTGTTGACTATTGTTGTCATCATGCATATCACGCTGCTCACGCCCTTCACATGTACATCACTCGTGGATGACTTCAGGATTGGTTATGTTTCTACGCGAGCGAGAATCATCATTTTACTTCTTATGCTGTGCTTGTTCTCGCTGATCTACCTACTGCTGCTTATATCACCATGCCCGTGACATTATTTTATTTTAATTTATTATCTGCAGTGCAAATCGACTTACGTTAAAATTACACTGGAGCGAGCACTTCCTGCTGTGCCTGGTCCAGTATTCATTTTGTCTCGCGCTACTTTTCAATATTGATTTGCTTGTGCAGAGTTGAAGTAAAACTGCCAGTGATGACAACGAAGCTGAAATCAAATCCCAAGAAATATCGATAGGCGGTGGATTCAGGCCTCGTTTACACGACAACGATTGAAAAACGTTTTTGTCAGAAACGTTTTCAACAGAATATGCTTCCACAGATTTTGATAAGAGCGTGCACACTACAACGCTGAAAAAACATTTCCAAAACGTCTCAAACGAAAAACTGCTTTCAAAGTGTTTTCCAATCGTTTTCGTTCCGTTTCGTTCTCGTGTACACGGCAAAAACGTTTTGCTACCATAGAAATGCCAGAATGGTGTGGCGGGAAGTAAGAAAAGGTACTTCCAGATCGTCACACGCGCGCGCAGTCGAAGAGAAGTTTGTTCGGTAGCGTTTGCAGCGGTTCCTTCAGTTTGTTATCTTCATGGCGCGTCTGTAGCACAGCTGTTGTAGGCGAGAGAAGAATGTTACCACCAGAAAAATGGATGAATGCAGCAGTCCTCATCTGCTGTTTGACTGGCCTAATTATTCACGCTCAGCTGATTGTTTGCGCAATGGAGTTCTCAGCGGCATCCTCAACCCGCAACGTCAAGATGAAGACTTGTTCGTGATGGTGCAAGGGAAGAATACCACGGTCATGAGGCGTCCGCGAGTCAGCCACAGCATACGGCGGTATTGGGTTCGGCCTGAAAGGGTAGCGCAATGGTGGGAGAATTTCCTTTCGCACAAAAGTGGTTCCTCTGGAATGGAAAGAAACTTCAGTATGTGTGAAGCAAATTTCCTGAAACTGTGCGAAGAACTCCGCCCACACATAGCAATGCAGAGCACAGTGATGAGACGAGGGGTTCTGAGTGGAAACACAGGTGCCTGTGACACTGTATTATCTAGGTGACGAAGGCCGGCTGAGGAAAACTGCGAATTCATTTGGGCTGTCCAGGTCGAACTGTTTCTCAGATGATCCGAAGAGTATGCCGCGCTTTATCGGTTCATCTCGGACCAAAGCTGATCAAGCTTCCCTCATCCACTGAGGAAGTGCAGGTGCTCGAGGAAGGATTTAGGAGTAAATTCAACATGCCTCAGGGTATTGGAGCAGTGGATGGCACCCATATCAATATTAAACAGTCAAAATTGGACTCATCCAATTACCTGAACAGGAAGTCCCGCTTTTCGCTGTATGTGCAAGCATGCTGCGACGAAACACTATCGGTTCTTTGATGTTGTCGTCAAGTGACCGGGAAGCATTCACGATGCACGTGTCTTCGCCAATTCAACTGTGAATGATGCATTGAAATCTGGCAAAATTCCACCCTGCAGAGCGACCGTGGTGGAAGATGAGGACCCAATACCAGTTTTTCTTCTCGGTGACCCTGCATATCCTCTCATGCCGTACATTATGAAAGAGTATGCAGGCGGCGGAAGCACACCATAGCAGCAGTACTATGCCAATGGGCTTCAACTGTGCAAGTCCAGAATGGTAATCGAATGTTCATTTGGAAGGCTGAAGGACAGGTTTGCTGCATTGCGGCGAGCCATGGACGATCTCCCCCATGTGATTTACGCTTGTTTCGTGCCGCACAACTTCTGCGAGTACAATGGCAAGTCACTGGCAGACGAGACTGTGCAGGCAGCCATAGCTGATGACCACATATGTCAGCCGCCACACGGTCAGAATCCAGCACGAGCTATCATTGAGGCAGAGAGGAAGAGGGTACAAAGAGTTTTAACGAAGCATTTTGACCCCTGCAACGTAATGGGTTTTTTTTGTTTTTTTTCCATCGGAAGGTATGAAGATGATGATCCATTCTTTACTCTTTGGACAACGACGGCGTCTGGTGAGGCTTTTGAAACAAAACATCTTGTTCATCTTCGCACATGTGACTGGACTTGTAGCGGCCTGACTCACTGTCTATTACGTCACTATCACATAAGCATGCACAAGAAAATAAAGCATTCTCTTTGGTCTCAACTTCTTTGTTGTCCGGTTGTGGCCCGACGTAAAAACCCTAAATTGGTGACCCCGACGCTGCGCTCTTCGGAGTTTTTTTTATCATGGCATCTCTGAGCTCTGGCCGCAGTTTGCAGTTTCCTGCTCGCCCCGCTCTCGGGATCCCGTCAATCGCCGGCTGTTGACATAAAACTTGAGCCTCACCACCACTCGACACTGGATCCGCCTCGGAGCTGCTGTGGCCCCTGCCACCCTCCCGGCCCACCTGGATACCCCGCTATCCTGCCACGGCACACTGTCCAGTCACCCGTATTTGTCCGTCTTCGTCCTGGCCTCAAGCTGGAAATTGGCCACCTCCACCATCCGTACCAGCTCAACTGTGCACGCACGCAGGCACACGCCCGGCACCGGACCCCGTGGAGCTGCGCACGCCTCCACCCGCCCCGCCTCGCCCCAGTGCAGCGCTCCTGCTGGTACCCCGCAAAGCCTGCAACATGCAGCCGCCTCTGACATGATAACACTCCTCTGTCACGCGTACATTTCCTCTCGTCTTTCTTTCCGCCTCTGACACGATAATACTCCTCTGTCACGCGTACGTTTCCTCTTTTCTTTCTTTCTGCCTCTGACATGCTCTCCACCTCTGCCATGTTAAACACCTCTGACACGTTAACCCGCCTCTGTCATGCATCTCTCTCTCCACTTCCTGATTTTTGTTCGGCCTTTGTTGCCACGTTATTAACAAATTTCATACACGCAGCGCTCTCGCTTGTACATTATTGTATCATATATGTGTACATGCCGCGCTTCCTTTCTCTTCTCTCTCTTTTTTCTTGTTTATCGTGCTTCGCTCCTCCTGACCTCACCATCTGCGGGGGAGTACTGTAGCGGCCTGACATGACCACTATAATTATATCCCGATCATCCCATCCTAAGAAATCATACAATGGAGTCTTCAGAGTCTGTCAGCATGATACCAAAATCCTTACCCCCAGTGCACCATCACATTTCTACAAGAGTAGTGAGAGGTTACATCCCCTGCAAATATCATCCAGCACTTGGCTCGATTTGCTGAGCCTATCAACAATCTGTCAGTAGCAGGCACATGTATGCAACAACCGCTTTACTGGTTGCAAGTCCCCCCCCCAATACCTGGAGCCTCAGTTTACCGGTTCAAGGGCAGTTAGACCCGGCTGTAAGTTGACTACCCCGTTTTAGTTTGGTTTTTCGGTCATACAAGGTCGACTTATAACCGGTAAAATATGGTACGGTCGGAAGTTGGTGCTTCCTTCCAGCCAAATCCACAAAGCGAGTATTGTGAAATCTTACCTCATCCAGGAATACATCTCTGCCATGCTTCATTGGCACGTCGGCTTTGGTGCGCTGCATCACCAAGACGGTCTCGATGAGCGACAAGCCATCCACTGCACGATCCACAGTCTGCTTCAGGTTGATGGTCTTGCCCGCTCGCACACCTTGATCAGCCGTGACTACCACTTTAGCACCGGCTGAACGCACCAACAGTGCATGTTTTAAACAGAAAGAAAGAGAAGTCATACCATCATTATCCACGCAGCTAGATACGGGAGGGGAGGAGGTGGGGTGGTGGCAACTGAATGCATGCACATACTGGCATGCACATACTGGCATGCACAAGTGGACGCACACACATAGTTTATAGTGCAACTCTGATAAGACCTGCAGTGAAACCTGTCTAAGACGACGGCTCAAGGGACCTTCAAAGTGTCTTCTCTGTAACCAGGTGGTCTCCTTATCCAGTGCCATTCGACTGGAAATAGCATCCCTTGGTCCTGGCTGCAGTGGTCTTCTGGGACAGGTGGTCGTCTCATCCGAGAGGTCGCTGCCTTGACAGGGTTTACTGTACTCGTACCCTCATAGGGAACAGGAAAGTGGACTTCGTATCCCAGCCACTTCTTATCCCACCATTCTGTAATATGTGGAAGAACACACCTGTGACTGTGTCCCGGACTATGTACTAAACACACCTGTGACTGTGTCCCGGACTATGTCCATACATGTACTAAGCAAGTGTATGTCTCATCAGAGCAGGTACTAAGTGAGTTCCACTGTACACTACTGACATGTACACATGGCCAGTTACAAACAAGCCTGCCTAAACCAGACAACTACACTACAGGCATGCAGAACACAAAGAATGAAAACAAAAACGAACAACAATAACTACATGTTTGGAGAGAAAGGCAACTCATCCATGAAGCAAAACAAGTGAAAACAATGACCACAGCTCCAATGAAACGCTTCTTCATTGCCGATACTCACATGACGAAAATTTACGCAACAAAAAAAACCCGTGCAAGCACAAAATCCTATGTACGCAGCATTCCAATGCCAGGTCAAAATACAAGTAGCTAGCTTCATAGTGGGTAATGGAGCATGTGTAGTGTACTCACCATCCGTGATGCGACTCCTTATCGAATCAGCGCCAAAACCAGCAAATATTACACTGTAGCGAAGAGAGCACAAAGCCAGTACCATGATGAGAACTAGCTTGAAGTAGATGTCAAGGTTAAGCTATCTACTCCGTAAAGCGAATCTAGGCCCATTGTACATGATGATCAACATGTAGAAAAATCCGGTCAGTACCGCATACTTTGGTTAGTGCAGGCACAACACAAAAAAAAAACAGAAGGTACAGGATATTCCTCACAGCAATGTAAAATTTAATCTACAAATTGTACATGATAGAACCTCTCCTTTGCACACCATGCACATCAACCCTGCGACTGCATTGTACTGTGAAGTGGATTCTGCAGACTGTACAGTAAGTATCATGTACCATCATTTTAAAATAACGAGGCATCAAAAATAAAGCAGCTCTAGCACTTTTCAGTGTGCTTTTGACAAGCACAGTAGGTATCGGTTAAAGCGTTGGTGTTTGAAAAACGACCTTCTATTCTTATTTCCGATATTTCTTACACACGATTACATCAAGTGTGACATATCATTATGCATGTGCGCAGGGGCAGGAAGATCATCGTACGTGCAACGTAGTGCTACTGTGCATGCGGCTGGTCATAGTCCCATAGGTTAACCATGTGGCTATCCAACATGAGTTATATGACCACAACAGTTGAACCTGCAGCACTACGACGCAACGCGAGTCAGATCAGAACTGCATGGGACAGATGTTATTACTACAGGCGATACACTTTGTACTAATCTGGCATGCTTCGCTACACAAAGTCCATTCTTAGGACCAATATAATATTCTACTATGCGATAAAATTGCTTGTAAGAATAAAAGTGCACTTGAAACCCATGTTATGATTATGAAAACATGAGAGTTCATTCTTGTAGGCGGTATATTCTTTTACACGACCACGCTATAACCGATACGCACTGTACCTGGATAATGAAATCAAGGTATTTCAGGGCTTTCCGAAACAGGTTCAAACGGCATCAACCCTGCTAGACAAATACATGATGTACTAGTATATGTGAGGATTACAGAGGAAGGGAGCTCGGGCTTTTCTTGCCAACTGGACACTTGAGACGGTCCCAAGTAGGGAGCAACACACATGCACACACACACACACACACACACACACACACACACACACACACACACACACATACACACACACCACACAAATACACACACACACACACACTTCCTCCACTATTGCCAAAGTCTCTACCACTATCAGGAAACTGCTATACATGTACTGAGGCAAAGAAGGAGACAGGAACGTTTTCTGTGCAACACCACTGGTCATTTCAATCGCAATTGGCATATATGTACCACAGGGCAGAACCCAGTAGCAATGCACATGGCAATGAGTAACCAGAGGCGATATAACCAAAGAGGGGAAACAAGTTCCTCTTACCTGTGTACGGCACCAATACGAGCGCAGGCCAGCATAGTGGCTACAGCCATCGGCGAGACGGGCATGTAGATAGCTACAACGTCGCCACGGTGTACATTGAACTCTTTCAGGACATTGGCGATCTTGCACACCATCTCCAGCAACTGCCTACAGAGCACAGCACAATGACATTGTCAGCACGCATGTATGGGTGTTATTTCGCAGAGGTACGGGTTGACGTACGGCAAGATCACGTGATCACAACGAACACTGACCAAGCAGCTTTGCACCATCTCAAGGCGTGTCCCTTGTAAACATGTCGGGTCCACAACGGATACGCTACGGGGTTTGTGTCACAACATATCATTGCTGTAATGAGTTCTGAATCCTGATTATACAGTCATAAAACTGAATGGAGATTCCCCACTCCCCGTTAGATGCAATTATTATGCAGGTGGAATCCTGATAATTCGAATATGGCTTAACCCTTTATGTACTGATTTCCAGCACAGAATGAAGCAGAATTTGAATTTTTAGCACAATTTTCACCTTCAACAGGCTATAACTTTGGCCTCCTTTGCTCCATTTCCACAATCTTGGGCTCTTTGGAAAGCTCCTGGCGAGAGCAACGCCTGGATACCAGGGTCCATCAACTAGCTGCCACAAATCAGGCGCAGGAACACATCAAAGTCGTCTCCAAACCCAATATGCGAGCAAATTTCCCCATCAACGCCATTCCACTCTCCTCTATCGCAGAACGCTCAAATCTTTTCGAGGCAATTCAAACTTCAGCCAACTACGTCATTATCATGTGCTGAGTTGGTCAAAGAGCACACGAAATGGGATTTCCCCCTAAAATGGCGAAGAGATCGATAAAAAATTTGAATTTGCCGATACAAGAATACGGCGCGCGATATCTCTGGAGTCGTACATCGTAGCTCTTCGGCGATTGTTGCATTGGAGAGCTTAGAGTTTCCGCTACTGAATAGACCCTTTGATTGTTGAATTCGGACAAGACATGATGGAGTTACGAAGGCTTTACGGATCGATCATGAATCGCGTACACACCGTACATAAAGGGTTAATTAGAACATATCGCTTAATTAGAAGTTTCTTCCGGGACCGATTTCTATCGATACGATTTCCACACAACAATTTCTGATAATTCGAACCTCGAACTGGGTATGTCCGGTTAATTAGAAGTCCCGCAGAATCCACTTTAATACATAGAAAATAAGTGGGATTTGTGCTGATAATTCGAAGTTAGCGAAACATAATAGTTCATTTTATTTTCTGCAAATCAGTTTGGTTTGCATGCGCAGGCAATTCAGTGTCCACTAAATCTGTGTCTAAGGTGCGTAGTGCAACTCTACATATCAATCATTTTGACATACATAATGTGCTGTGGGCACATGTTTGGATAATTAAAGGGATTCTAACTAGCATGATTCCACCTGCACATAATACTGCATGGGAATTTCCCACTCCCCGCGGGATGCAATTGTGTGCAGTGTGGAGAGGTAAAACGCACAACATCTCCTTGCTCCTGTAAAAACTACTAAAAAGACCTGTACTTGATACAACGGGGCGGCAAGCATTCGCACAGGCAATACGTGCTACAATCCTATGCCTCATATCACATCCAAGCAGCTTGACTCTTCATTGAAATGCCAGTCTTGACACTACAGTCATATACTGTAAGACATGTTATTATAACGAGTTGCAAATTTAACGATTGTCCAAAATTCATAGGTTAACGAGAAGATATGTTAACGATCTTGCAGTATTCTGCCATATCCACACACAGCATATATGAAGCAGTACGGCCGCAACGGATCTTATTATAACGAAGAAATGTCATCCGTTAAAACGTTAGATTTGCTTCCTCGTTATATATACATGTCTTACAGTACAGTGATGATATACTAGTACTGTACTGGACTTCAGGGGTGATTAGTGCTACAAAGACAGTCAGAACCAGCAGCTGCCAGTCTTCGCAAAACAAGCAAAATCCCAACCGCAGACTCACTGGTAGGTGACGATCTCCGTGTCGCCTGGCTCATCTTTCTCCCAGACGAGTGCCGGCCGGTCCGGATGTGAGTTGGCGTGGCGATCGACACAGTTCTCTGCATTTGCAATCGGCAACACATACAGGTGCAAGGGACACACACACACACACACACACACACACACACACACACACACACACACACACACACACACACACACAGTCTTATAAAGAGTACATAGAACAGAGGGGCAAGAAAACGAAATTTGCCGTTTCCGTCATCTTGGACGTCCAAGGTACGATAAAACCTTATATCACAGATTGGGACGATGCAGTGCAACTGTACAATTCCGGATTACGACTTCCAAAACTCCGCAAAAATGGCGTGCATGACGATTTCTGCTGTGCAGAACTAAGGAGGTACAGTATCCGGCCGGCAGTTGCCCATCGTTGTTGTCAGCAGCAAACCGCCATTCGCCGAACTACATCGCCCGGTATCTGATTACCTCTTAATTGTCGCTGAGGCAAAGAGCTGTGGCTTGATGGAGCTTTGTTGCTGGAAGTGCAGCGGAATCCAGTGTAGAGTGTACGGCACCCGAGAACATGTACAGGTGCTAGCTGTTGTATACATTGCATGCATCATAGGAGTCAATGTGTCATATCATGTTTCTCATGCTATTCATCCTTGCTCACGCTAGACTAGACGTCTGCGTAGGGACTGCTTGCTGGTGTGCTGCATGCATTCATTGCTAGTTCCATGCATAGTTCTTTGCCCTACTGTGGCGGGAAGGTCGTCCCGTGCAGCCGCAATGATCAGCTGCGCTACGGAGGTTCAGTTCCGGTAAGCATGCATGCGGATTTGCATTTCGCTGCTTGGTTTTGATGTATTTGTAGTTAGTGCAAGGAAAGAGCTTGCTGGTGCAGTTGTTGTTTTGGTTTTGGTTTTGAGTTTAGTTTGCTCTTTGTTGTTACCTGGTTTGAACGATCGCCTTTTGTGGAATCGTTACGCTCATTGTGGTACAATAATACAGTCTTCAGAAATATCGAATACATAGTGGTCCTTCGAGCCGGATCTAGTCGCGGTTCATTCTATAACCTCACGAGGATGAGTGAGTCGCGGCCGTCCGGACTGAGGCGTAGTGGAAGAAAGACTAAAGGCTGGCACTCGGCTCGGTATGGGTTTGAGGAGTCAGATGAAGAGGAGCTCGAATTGATTTTAGCGAAATTGAATAGGCGAGCGGAGGAACTAAAACTCCTGATCGCAGAGGAGACCGCTTCTATGGAAGCGCTGCATGCAGCCGTGATCGCGCGTGGATTGAGTGAGCGTCATGGACGTACATCTACGGCAGAGCCGAGTCCCGTGCCAGTACCAGTGCCGAGACGACCAACGCCTGCACCGCGATCGCGGAAGACGAGTGCTACTTGTAGTAGTCAGGCGGTGTTGTCGGAAGATTGGACAGCCGAATGTCGATCTCGGCAGCAGAACAAACTAGTTTTGATCAGCCTGCACTTCATGGATTAGTAGCACCTGGAACGGCAGGAGGAGTTCAACTTCAACGTGTGTCATATGCGCCTCTTGCACCTTCACCTGCGCCTCGAACTCGCGTGGAACCCAGACTAGCCAGCGTTAGTGGGTCCAGCAGCGCAGGCATGCTAGGCAACAGCGACAGAGAGTCAGTGACTCAGAATCATGGCCAGGTGCCATCAGTGCGACAGCACAAAGACATGAGTCATAAGCAAGAGCGCAGCAGCAGCGGCAGCAGAAGGCAAGAGCGCAGCAGCAGCGGCAGCAGAAGGCAAGAGCGCAGCAGCAGCGGCAGCAGAAGGCAAGAGCGCAGCAGCAGCGGCAGCAGAAGGCAAGAGCGCAGCAGCAGCGGCAGCAGAAGGCAAGAGCGCAGCAGCAGCAGCGGCAGCAGAAGGCAAGAGCGCAGCAGCAGAAGGCAAGAGCACGTCAGCGGCCGAATGAACCCGGCTGATCTACCAAGTCGTCGAGTTGCGGCCTCGCACTTGCAGGATGACGGCAAATGGTGGAGTGGCCCAGAGTTCTTGCAAGAGCGTCCGGAGCGATGGCCGAACAAAGACATCATAGTGCCCCAGGTTCTTCCGGCACTGCTTCAGCGGCCGCACCCGATGACTCTCACCAGCCAGATCCAGGCAGAGCAGACGACATGCCGCCTGCACCCAGACAACGTCTTGTCCTGGAGCAATCTTCTGCGGGTCACAGCCTGGTGTAAACGGTTCCTTGATAACACCAGAGGCCGACCTCAGCAGTGTGACAGCAACGCAGGTGCTACCGTGCAAGTATCTCTCAAGAGTGCTAAGGCTGTTTCGGTTCCCGAATTGACGGTCACAGAACTCCAAGGCGCCGAGCGGCTCTGGATAAGCTATGCGCAGAGGCAGTGCTACGGAGAAGTAGTGTCAACGCTGAAGGACAAGACGCCTCTTCCACCCAGTGCACCGCTAACGAAGCTACAGCCGTTCCTGGACACTGACGGTCCACCGCTGCTCTGAGTTGGTGGACGGCTCCGGACCTCACACCACCTGTCTGACCAGTTCCGGTCCCCTGTGATACTGCCCGCCAATCATCGCGTCACTCAGCTAATTGTTGGGCATGAGGATGAACGCTGTCAACACGGAGCAGACACAAACCATCTGCTCTCTAACCTGGCCGATCGGTATTGGATCATCAAGGGTCGCCAGGTCGTTAAATCCTACCGTCACAGCTGTGTCCGTTGCCAGAAGCTGTGGAGACGTGCCGCTGAGCCCAAGATGGGGAACGTGCCAAACATTCGGACAAGCGAACCGTTACAGGCGTTCGCTCACACTGGAGTAGACTATGCTGGGCCTTTCCTGGTCAAGATGGGACGCGGACGATCGAAAGAGAAGCGCTATATAGCCGCGTTCTCATGTCTGCAGACCCGTGCGTGCCACCTGGAGGTAGTGCGTTCTCTGGATGTCGAGGGCATGGAGGTGGCTTTGGCAAGGTTGTGCCATCGCCGAGGTCGACCAACACTGATCCTCTCCGACAACGGCAGTAACTTCGTTGCTACCGATCGTGAACTGCGGGAAGCGCTGAGGGATTTGGATCAAGCCAACATCACAGCTGGGTTGGCGATTCAAGGCATCAGATGGCAGTTTAATCCACCGCGATCACCGCCACCTCTGCCGCCGCCACGGAAACCTCCATGGCCGCTACCTCCTGTACCACCGCGGGGAAGAGCTCGGCCGCACTTCGGCGGAGCATTTGAGAGGGTGGTCGGGGCCTTGAAAAGGGCACTCCAGTCAGTCCTGTACAAGGCTAGCCTGACCGACGAGGAGCTGCAAACTTCATCGTGGGTCATGTCAACATCGCAACAGCTCTGGAGATGGCGGCAGACTCAGAGTCGACGCCAGTTCACCCATACCATCGCTGGAAAGCTATCCAGCAGCTCCTCAGAGATGTATGGAAGCGGTGGCTAAGAGAAATGGTCTCTGCTATGAACATCATGACTAAGTGGCGCCGCCAATCGGGCACGGTCGAGATTGGAGACGTCTTCCTCGTCATGGACGATGCGTTGTCACGCTACAGATGGCCGCTAGGACGCGTGAATGCCACGATCCCTGGCAAGGACGGCATTGTTCGTGTCGTGGACATCCAGGTCAACGGCAAGAAATATCGGCGTGGTGTTCGATACCTAGTGCCGCTCAATATCCCGACAGCTGAAGCAGCCACTGCGGTATCTCAGTCGTCAGCCCTCGACTTGGATGAGTTGCAGTAAGACACTAATGGAACAGACGTTAGTTAGTAACACAGTACACTTTCGTCACCTCATTTTCTCGCTGCTTTCTAGAGCATTAGGCACTTATTCCTCTATGTGCTGTGTGCTACATACTAGTATCTTCCTTTGGTGTAGTTTCACTCTCCCCTGGTTCGTTCAAGGTGGGGGGTATGCTGTATACATTGCATGCATCATAGGAGTCAATGTGTCATATCATGTTTCTCATGCTATTCATCCTTGCTCACGCTAGACTAGACGTCTGCGTAGGGACTGCTTGCTGGTGTGCTGCATGCATTCATTGCTAGTTCCATGCATAGTTCTTTGCCCTACTGTGGCGGGAAGGTCGTCCCGTGCAGCCGCAATGATCAGCTGCGCTACGGAGGTTCAGTTCCGGTAAACATGCATGCGGATTTGCATTTTGCTGCTTGGTTTTGATGTATTTGTAGTTAGTGCAAGGAAAGAGCTTGCTGGTGCAGTTGTTGTTTTGGTTTTGGTTTTGAGTTTAGTTTGCTCTTTGTTGTTACCTGGTTTGAACGATCGCCTTTTGTGGAATCGTTACGCTCATTGTGGTACAATAATACAGTCTTCAGAAATATCGAATACACTAGCCGATATTTTTCGTTTTGTGTAGAGACGACACGTTAGTGCTACAGCCCTTCGTTACAACTGAAGTGTCAACACCTAAATCAGTTTGTAGTTCGACTCTGCGGCCTTGCGCCGCTCTGCCCTGTTCCACCTACAACCTACGTGCATCTCGTTGTATATTTAAAACTGAAGCAGTACATCATGCCATGCAGTGCAGTTCACAAGGCAGTTGTATAGTCACTGCCAGCTTCATGCGCCTCACTCCAAGTCGCACGACACCATGCTAACTTTGTCGTTTAAAATTTCTGGAATCATGGAATGTGTCCTGACTGACGGGTGCCTCTCTCTCTCTCTCTCTCTCTCTCTCTCTCTCTCTCTCTCTCTCTCTCTCTCTCTCTCTCTCTCTCTCTCTCTCTCTCTCTCTCTCTCTCTCTCTCTCTCTCTCTCTCCACATGTATTAAGCTGCTAGATATGTGTAGTACTGTCATGTAATACTGTATTTAAACAGAAGTAACACCCACCTGAGACATTGAGCTTTCCTCCGAGAAACCACTCTAAATGGCCTTTGTTCATGTCGACATTTCTGACCACTTGGAATTTCTCTTGCCATTTGAGTCTCTCAAGCGCCAATGAACCAAAAAACTGCTCGGGGTCTCTCAAACTCTCTGCGTGAAGCTCTTTCCAGTTACTGGAAACAGAGGCTAGACGAGGAGCTGGCTTCAGGTCAGAAACAGAAACCCTGTCACGCCATTGTCCAATGTGTGTGTTGCACTGCTGTCTCTGGAGTGGATTCCTAGAGGAATTCGCCCTTGCGCACTGAAAGAATCGAGATGAGCTTCTGGAAAACATCATTGCATCATACTCGAACTCTCACCACTGTCAAAGACTTCAACAGCCGCGTAGCAACCACCAGCTACACTCCCCCAGAACACCTTCAGGCTCAGCTTCGACTGCACAAAACTTCAAAAGGTGCACAAGTCCAGAACTGATCGATGCATGTCATGTGTGTCTCTTCAAAAAGCAAAAAAACGATCGATCGAGCCTCGTGCACAATTATGTACATGATTGTAGTGATGTACATGCACGATGCGACGCTACGGTACCATGTATACTGTACGGTACTGACTATGAACTATAAAAAATTATCTGGTCTGCAAATCTTGTGTACGGTGTCCGGTACGTGTACGCGATGTAGTCTGTGCACCTGCACCTGTGACGCCGCTCCTACTCCTATTACTATGTTTTTCGATTTTGACAGCATGTTACAAGGCGAGGACGCGTAGTGCTCCTGACTACAACCATAAACCGGTTGGCAGACATGCTGTCAAAATCGAAAAACATGTTAACTACCAAGCAAGGCTTCTGTATATATTCCTATACTACTACCAAGAGTAGATAAACAAGAGTGTGCAACTCGCGGATGGGTTGGCCCACGGCGGAATTTTTTGTTGACGTAATCTTTTCGACGACGCACGCGCTGCGAGCCTTTTGGAGAGTTTTCCCTCGTGCACTTGGCTGGGCTTTACACTACAAGGTCGGTGCCCAGCACGTGCTCTCACACTGCTCTGCGGCAGAATCCGCGTTTCTCTGAAAAAAGGTGACGTAAACAAAAAATTCCGCCGTGGGCGCGGGGTATCTGCAGATTGTGCAGGAGAGATCCGGAGTTGCACACTCTTGTTTATCTACTCTTGCTACTACTAGTACTAGTCCTAGGCTAGCGCCTTGAGCTCGCGAGGTAGCTAGCTCAGACTGAACCACGCGTCACCTGGTCACGCGTCGCACAAACTGTGTGGGTATTTTGCACGTGATCAATTTTTTGTGTCTACTTTTGAGTTTTGTCAGCTCGGTTTCCATAAAATCATCCAAGCAGATGCAGTTCCAGTTCCCAAGAATTTGCATGCACGTTTCACCACTTGTCCTCAACTGGCTTGCTCAAGTGACTGGTGAGTGTTCAACTAAACGTGGTTAGCCGAAGCAGGAGTTCTATAAGTTTCGTTGTGTTTTTTAGAAGCCGTTCGGAAGTGCTTCCTGTCAGAGGAAGAGATAGTGAGAATAATGAGTGCCGAAGACCATTGGGAGGAAGGGGATGTAGAGACGACTCGCGCTGAAGCATCTTTGCTAAACAAAGTTTTGCGGGAGAAACTCGTGGACTCATCTCTACAAGTGGATGTCACGAATAATGATCCCAAATCCCCGCTCTACTCAATTAAAACCTTTGAAGAACTACATCTACGCAAGGAACTCCTTGATGGTGTCTATGCAATGGGATTTAACAGGCCGTCCAAAATTCAGGAGACAGCACTTCCCATGTTGTTAGCAGATCCACCACACAACATGATTGCTCAATCACAATCTGGTACGGGGAAAACAGCTGCATTTGTGCTGACAATGCTAACACGTGTTGATAGCAGCCTCAGTTCTCCCCAAGCATTGGTCCTCGCTCCAACCCTGGAGCTGGCCACCCAGATTGGTGACGTTTGCACACAGATGGCAAAATACATTCCGGGCATCCAGGTTGCCTATGCCGTGCGCCGAGGAGCCAGACCGGTCAAGGATGAAGTGGACGAACAAATCGTGATTGGCACGCCGGGTACCGTGTTGGACTGGGTGAAGCGTGGCAAGCTGGACCCCAAACAACTGCGCATGTTTGTGTTGGACGAGGCCGACGTCATGATCAGCATGCAAGGTCACCAAGACCAGTCTATCCGTGTCCAGAAAATGCTTGCAGCAACGTGCCAAGTGCTTTTGTTTTCGGCCACGTATGACGAAGACGTCACGTCGTTTGCCGGTAGGATTGTCAGTGACCCTATCATGATAAAATTGGCACGAGAGGAAGAAAGCCTGGACACTATTCGCCAGACGTACGTGTCTGTACGCAATGAAGAGGATAAGTATGATGCCTTATCAGGCGTCTATGGTATTATCAGCATCGGACAGACCATCGTTTTCTGCAAGTCTCGTGTGGCATCAGCTAATCTGGCTAAGCGTATGTCAGATGAAGGCCACGCCGTGGCCGTCCTTACCGGCGACATGGACGTAACACAGCGGGTGCACGTACTGGAGCGTTTCCGACACGGCAAGGAACGCTTGCTAATCACCACCAACGTATGTGCACGCGGTATCGATATCGACCAGGTCTCGGTGGTTGTCAATTTCGACATCCCGTACGACGTCATCAACAGGAGGCCCGACTATGACACCTACCTGCATCGCATTGGCAGAACGGGCCGATTTGGCAAGACCGGACTGGCAGTAAACTTTGTCGACGGAGCACGCTCGTTAGATAACCTCAAGGCTATTGAGGCGCATTTTGGCAAGACGATTGACCTTCTCATTCCCAGTGAAGTTGCAGAGAAAGAGGACTCATCTGACTGGTAGAGCTAGAGGGTAGTTAGCATAGTCTGATCTGCTGAATGAACACAGTCACAAAACACATATCCAGGTATGATTACCCTGTGTTGAACCAACCTTTTTTGTTCTTGCTTTTCTTTCTGCTTTTCAAGCGACTGGTTGCCATCTGCTTTTTTTTATGTCTAAACCAGGTTCCAGAGCTTAGTGAAGGAAAAGGCTAAGGCCAGGGATTCGGAGCTGTTTTAGTCTGGTTTTTTACCGGTTTTGTGTGCGCATTTTTGTACCTTTTAGTGCTTGGTGAAGTTTTCTTCAGTTTTCCGTGTGCTTCATACCATGTTTGTCTATCCTTCTGGTAGTGCCGAAATGGTCATGTTTGGACGTGCATCAACTCTGCTCGCGCATTTACTTTATCTAGGCCTAAGTTCTGTGGCCACGTGTGGATCTAATGCGAGAGCCGTGTCTTGTTATGGTTCCTTTCCCTTGAGTTACAGTGAAGATCCACTATTCTTTTCCTCTGGACTCGTTTCTATTTTATCAGTTTTCACATGAAACCCATGCTCTTTTCAGAAGCTGTAGGACCGACTGGAGTACATGTACTGAAACCTGTAATGATAAGGTCGCCATTGTGTGTTCTCGGTTTCACGAAGGGTATCGTAAACTACCGGTATTTGTATTTTATGACTCCCTGGTTGCATGCCATTCCATTTCCAAGCTCTTGCATAACGTGTGCATGTGGGAAAGAAATGCGGTCCTTGTTGAAGGATAATTTGGAGCCTTCAACTATACAACAAGCACGTGCATGGGTAGCCCCCCCCCCCCCCTTATCTCATGTGGTATAGAATATTACAATGAGCGCCAGGCGTTTAAAAAAATGGGATCATGCATGCCAGTGCAACAACGCCCCGCATCCAGGTTCATGTGCATGTATCAACAAGCATAGTCCACTACGTTGTAAACACTGACCGGTATGTACAATGCACCTCACATTCTGTACCCCTAAGTCCTTACACAATTCCAAACGCCCCTAATCCGGGTATGTACCTTTCTGACCCATCTACAAGTGTAGATCTACAGACACATTTTTCTTTTTCTATTGACTAAAAAGAACACTGCCCTACTGAGAGACATGTGGAGACAAACACAAGACAAGACACAGGGGATGCAGGGAGCAACTCGACCGACCATAGGTGATGGCGTTAGCGTTGCAACCTGGCATCAAAAATGGGGAGGGATTGCAAGGTCAAGAAGCAATAAATTAATAATAATTTGATGTGAAAAGAAGTTTACACAACTCGATTCCATAATGAGTTCACAGCACAAACCCAAGTGGGCATTTACTAACTACACAATAATATCATGTAGATTTACTATCATTGAGTTACAGACGCGTAGTATATGTACTACATTATGCGCTTGCCATTTACGACATTATTGATCGCAGGGCACTACACAGTCCATTACTGTAAAAGCAGAAATTTTCGGTGGTGTTTTATTTTCGGTAACTTCGGTGCCGACAATTTTTACCGAAAATAAAACGCACCGAAATTTTCGGTACAACCGATACTGTATACATGTAGTACTAGTACACCTACCTGGAGAACGGGTTTTACCGAAAATTTCCCACTACCGAACCGCCGATTTTGGCGAATACCGAAAATATTACACCACCGAAAATTTCTGCTTTTACAGTATATCACAACACGAGTCAACAAAAGGAGAGAAGAGCGGAGGAGAGGGTCTTGCTATCACCCTCGGGGCCCAGGCAAAACCATACATCAACTACTTCACCAAAAAACAAGACTGGTAAAAAACGAAGACTGGTATGCAACACATCTTCACTGTCACACTATTCATTACAATGTCGATGCTGAGAAGGAAAGATACAGAAACAGTATAAAAAATGAAGGCTGCAAAGAAAAAAAGAGAGTTGAAGATAGTCTGAAGTTGGCGCTGGCAATTTGATAAGTATTACTGCAAGAACAACTTAGAACAACTACGTTGAGAAGTAGTACATAATATAATGCATGCACTACGATAATTATGTGTGCGTCCATGGTTGAACAAATGAATTCGAAGAGGCCCAGAACTGGCCGAGCAGCCGAAACACCACTCTACTCCAGGTAGGAATAATGTTACAAAAATCAATGTAAAGACTAGAGGTTTTTAAAAAAAAATAAAAAAATTCCAAAAAAAATGTGGCCACTGGTGAATGCCATGGCGGTGAAAACACCGCCCAGCTGCTATGATAGAAAACGGCAACACACTAAGTAGTTAGTTATCCAGCTGACTTTATCCAGCTGACTAACAGCAGAGAAGAAGGTAGCAGCACATATTAGACTAAAATACCTTTCGCCAGTGGGTGCGGTGAAAGCATCAAAAGGGGGCACCGGGCTGAATGCAAAGTGACAACCTCTGGCACGCTAAAAAAGAAGACAGAAATGGAGAAAAATGCCTCTGAAACAGCAAAGCTAACATGCTAGAATAAACTTTCAAACGGCAACATACAAACAGAACTTCGCAGCAGACATCCGCAGAGTACAAAGACATTGAGCTACACATCGCAACCACATGGTCGAAAAGAAACATGTGCGAAATTCACAAAAGAAAATAGAAGACAATCCGAAAGGAAGCAGAGAAAACAATCCAGCACAGTCAAGAGGCCTGGCCAGCCTGTAACCGCTCCAGCTCATATTGCAGTGAAAGCCGAGCTTGTCGTGCCTGAGAAGGAAGAAGTGTACAACAGAACAGCACACAGCATGAAGGCAACATAGGATGATGAGATACTAGTAACAGAAGACAGTGACCCACGTATAAAAATGGAAGTTTGTATATCCCAAGCCAAGCGATGGGCCAAGCGAGTGATGAACCCTGGTGGACGAGCATGGAGTGAACGTTTGTGTGCGTGTGTGGTGGTGGGGGACATCCTCCAAGGTCCGGCCACACAAGCTACGACAGTCCACACCACACATGTGCGAGGCCTCACTCACGTAACGGACTACCTGTAAGTACGTGTATTCGGTATTTGCCGAAGCATTTTTTACTCCGTGTTGTGCATGTGTTCTTCAGCGAAACACAATAATTGCAATGTGATGGATACATACTGTGAATGCGTGAAGTGAGTACGCAGATGTGCGAGTTCACACTCACGCCGAGCACATCTTCACCCTTGGGATTTGAAATACATGATTGTGTAATTATTGTATTGGATTCGATCACGGATTATGCACTGGCACTACTTAGTAAAAGATACAGCTCTAGTATTCCTTTAGGGCACGCTCACACTGCGACCAAAACCAGCGTCTATGCGGCCATGCGGCCAAGTTGCATGGCAACGGCATGAACTTGACCAAAACGTCGCGGCCACGTTTCAAATCGTGACCGCGACCTCCGGAGGGGGGTGCCACGACTTGGCGGCAACATGATCGTAGACGTGAAGCGTATTTGTGTACAACCTGGCCTGAAGTATGTTCAATTTCTCAAATTCCGGTGTGTTGATTCATGAAACTCGGCGGTTGTCGATGTCATCCTCGACATTTGCACATTTTTAAATTTTTGTAGTTGTGGTCCTGCACGCACGCACCACCATAAAGATTGCATATATTATATGCAATCTTTGCCCTTTTTGGACGATGTCAATTTTGTTTTTGTAGTCGCTTTGTTGTCAGTTGATCGGGTCAGTGACCAGTTTCTACAGTGTACTCGTTCAATACGATGGTAGCTTGGTCTTGCTTTTCGGTTTTGGGAAATCATCTTTCTCTACTTTTCTGCGATGATGGAATGCCATACCTCAAGATAATTTCAGTTACGTATCATCGGGAAATACAGTTCTCATCTCGGCAACAGACAAAAGAAACCACTACCAGAATTTCCACTGCACTGGCACTTGCTCTGACCACGAGGTCAGGAAAGCGAAAGCGCTTGGATGTCAGCGGCAGCCCCGCAAGAGTCCAAACCTCCATGATTGTATGAAATATTTTCGTCGACTTCAAGAATACGAGCCACGAGGCACTTCCTCCAACATGCAACACGCGAAAAAATACATTCAAAAACGGGCCACAACTTTATTAGGAAATGCACAAACTCTTTGGGATACGCACTGCAATTCGTAAAGTTTGTGTGACAACTTCACGTCTACGCGTGTACGAGGCCTAGTGTGAGCACCACTGCCACGTTTCTGCATTTTGCTGACGCATGGACGCGTGCTCATGGTCGCAGTGTGAGCGTGCCCTAACTGATTGTCGTAAATGAGGGGTACATGTACATGTTTTGAGGAGAGCCTTGCCTATCACATCAAAGTCATGCCAAGTCTCTAGGTGTTACAGTATCGCCATAGTGAATCCTTAAGTCGGAAATAAACTCAAAGTTTATACGCCGCGATAGAAAATATGAAACTTTCGTGGCGCACTCAGTGTGAGATTTCGCCGAGATGCTACGTATGTCATACTCAAGCATGGTACATGCCAACATTTCGTGCTTGAGGCAAGTAGTCCGCTGCAGTTTGAAGTCAATGTGAAGGAGGATTGCATGGCAGCTGTTTAATGTTGACGGAGCAGTTCGCCTGCTGCTGCTCTTTTGAGCAATAGTATTCTTGCAATTTCTTGGCCACGCAGAGCAGAGGCTGTGTCGGTATCTGCCTCAAGTCTGGTGTCGCTTCGTCTTGGAAAATTTGTTCCAACACAGGTTCATTTGCAACAATCGGTGAATGCTTGCAGAGATATGACCATATGAGTGAGAGTACACTTCATTCGAATCGAAGGCAAGCGGATTTATCGTACTTTTCGGGTCCCAAAAGGTGAACACAAAACTGGCAACGGTTGTGTCTTGTCGACCTAAAAATGCAGCTGCACACGGTTGTGTTCATGTCGAATGCATCTCTTAACACAACTGGTGGTAATCTCTCTCTCTATTGCCAATACATATCATGCATGGCAACCACATACCTGATAGAGCTCGCTTTGCAACTCTTGATTGAGCGCAGAGAGTGCCAGCAGCTTGTCGCGGCACTTGGAAATCCGACCCTTCACTTGAGAGCCAGCTCTGTGCGCAAAATGGCATACGTGGGAGAGAAAAATTGAGATAGATGAGCAGATGGCACATACCGGTAGAGATTTCCGCACATTACACATCACAGATTTCAAAAGCCATTCGCTTCCCTGTTCCCAAGCCGTGTTACGGGTAAGCCACAGGCCATGGGTGCTGATACTTTCACACAATAGTACGGTCTACTCCAGGTAAGTCGCACGCTCTTGGGCTGTGATCGTGTGGTATAATCCTGATCCAGACCCCCAGATCCATAGTCCTCCCAAAAAAGTACTGTAAAACATGCAATTTTCGGTGTAACTTTAATTTCGGTGATTTCGGTAGAGAAACCAGGCACCTAAATTTAAATTACACCTGAAAGGCACTAGAGTATGCACTGTATGTGAAGGGAACGCTGGTCACCTAATTCTAGATTACACCTGAAACCTGGCAGGCCCCTGGCACCGAAATTTTAATGCACCTAAAATTACACGTTTTACAGTAATTCTTTTCACATTGCTATGGTTGACATGTTCATCAAGAAAAGGCGACGATAGAAAAGTCTGTCCAGCCAGCCTGGGTCCCCGATCCGATTAGTCGATTATTGCGTGTCCTCGAGTGGCGCATTGTATTCCCTAGAGCTGAGTGCATGACTTATCGAGAGAAGACTGTACTAACAAGCAGCAACGGGAGCGCACTCTAACCGAGACAGAAATTCACTGGTTGTCTGTCGATAACGCAAACTCTCTCTCTCTCTCTCTCTCTCTCTCTCTCTCTCTCTCTCTCTCTCTCTCTCTCTCTCTCTCCTGTCTCCATATCATCAAGAGTACATGAAAACCATAGTGTGCAGCTTGGGGCCTTTTCTGCTATGGGTGTCTGTCACGGCGGAATTCCGTGATTACATCATATTTGGCGCAGATCTGAGGCGGGAAATGGGGTAGTGCGTACAACTGAGCTGCAGTTGTGCAGAAAGAGACCTGCTTGAATCCTGCTTGTACGCACTACATCACTAAAATGATGTAATCACGGAATTCCGCCGTGACAGCCACCCATCCGAGCTGCACACTCTGGTTTTCATGTACTCTTGATATCATAGAAAAAGGCAGAATGGAATTTTGACTTGAAGTTTTCACCAAATGACAAATGACAAGCGACAGTCACAAGACACAGAACAAATGTCAGCAGTTGCTGCTTTCCAACAACAAAAGAAGTCCCGTGATCATACAAATTACATGGAGCACACAACATGAACAAGAATGACATGGAAAGGACTGTGGGAAGAAAAGGGTGGGGGAGGTGTTGTGACAAATTAAACACGCATCGGAAGACGGAGACGGTGGTAGGAGGCCATTGGGACACATTACATTCATACAAGTACAAACATCACCAAGGAAGCAAAATGCATAAACAGCATGACAGATAGAAGATTGATTTATGGAACATTTGTTAGCATCCTAACGTAGTGCACACGCATAATTCATACTTTTACATGCATGTTCAAATGTTTAGAACATATGTCTCTCTCTCTCTCTCTCTCTCTCTCTCTCTCTCTCTCTCTCTCTCTCTCTCTCTCTCTCTCTCTCTCTCTCTCTCTCTCTCTCTCTCTCTCTCTCTCTCTCTCTCTCTCTCTCTCTCTCTCTCTCATGCACACACACTTACACAAAATTAATGTACACACATTTACACACACACTTAAAATGCATAATATTAGGCAAATTTATCAGTGAGATAAGAATAAGTAACCTGGCAGCTGCCACTTACTCAACTTCAAGGGGGTAGTCATAATCGTGACTTTGATCACCTGTATAGGAATCGGCTGTGTCACCCTGGTCGTGGATATACTGGATGGCATATGGGCTAAAGTCTGAGTCAAACCCTCTATAAAACAGTGACACGTGGCAGATGGTAGATGGCAGATGACAGAGGACTAATAATTAGCGACAGGTTGAGCATGTTAAATACATCCACTTCAGTATACCGGTAACACCACCATGAGGAGATAATTATACTCTGCCACATCTCTCTCTCTCTCTCTCTCTCTCTCTCTCTCTCTCTCTCTCTCTCTCTCTCTCTCTCTCTCTCTCTCTCTCTCTCTTTTTATGTCTCTCTCTCTCACGAGAAGAAAAGCACCTACGTTAGCAGCATACCGGTATGCACATCACTATGAACACAAACAACATCTACACTATATTAAAATACCAGAAGTACTTCGAAGTATGCTCTGGCAGTACTGCACAGAGATATTCAGTGAGCAGCAAGCTTCAAAAAAAAAACATCAGATCCTTACGAATTTATACAAAACGGTTTAAAATGATCCAGAATTAGAACAGGTTTACCAAATTAGAACAGGTTTACCAAATTAGTTTGTTTACAGTAGTATTGGTTATTGAATGTCACATTGTGTGCAATGCAAAGAAGTAAAGCTAGAAGGCTGTTGGTTAACAATGCATTCAAGACACGATGGAGTTAAACACCACCAATATCAACCGTCAGCATTGTGCTGCTGTCGGGTGTTGAGACGCCTCATTACTGTAAAACCGGAAAGTTTAACGTTTTTGTCATTTTGGCATGATAACGTGCAGAAAGCTTACCGATGGCTACCTGGCCACCCATCTGTATGCACATCTTTACACAGACATCTCGCGATAACGTTTCTTCAAATAACGAAAATTGTTCGCTAAAACGTTAGACTTTCCGGTTTTACAGCATCTTTGTTATTTGGCGAACAATTACTGGTATGCACAAGTCTTGTAAGCTATTGGTCTTTTTTCTTTTCAAATTTACATTCGTGCATCATCTTCAATGTAAGTTATGACTAATTACTTGTACATGTACTTCCTTCAGAACCAAAAACTTCGTGACTTTTATTCACATTCCGAGAAGCTTTCGTGCTCAAGAAATTTGGTTCAATGGGACAACACTTTTAGACAATGAGTGAGTATACTTGTTACTATTATATAAAAGAAATTGGCACCGTTTGAGTCTCAGTTGGAGTCACCACCGCTTGATTCCTCAGAACTCAATTTACAAGAACTGACAGGTTGATGAAAGTCACGAAGCTTTCGTTTCTGGTGGAAGTGGATGAAAAAATTGAAAACAATTACGCCATGGGTTCAATCCAAATTAGGCACATGCATAACAAGCCATGCCATAGAGAACATAGAAAGGGAGTAGAGATGATCGTGCAGAGCATAGGCACACAGCTGGCGTAGACACACTCAGTGCGGACCCCACTCATTTCCAAGGCCAGTCATTGCGCTAACGAGATCCCTGTAGAAGTGATTTCCCAGATGGTCAAGGCACTTCGAAGAAAACAATACGAAGAATGCTCACTGTGCCTGGCAAGAGGTGCCGGACATACATGTGTACATTGCATCGCATACATTCTGTTGCACACATACCTCTTCTGTGACTTGGGGATCGAAGCATAAATGCTCTCTTCGGCTGGTTTCTCGGCGGTTTTCTGCACTTTCGCATATGAATCCTCAACACTTCCGGACCCTTAAATCCATACAATCCGAAAGAACCACAGAAGAGAGAGAGAGAGAGAGAGAGAGAGAGAGAGAGAGAGAGAGAGAGAGAAGAGAGAGAGAGAGAGAGAGAGAGAGAGAGAGAGAGAGAGAGAGAGAGAGAGGGGAAGGATAACATACAATTATTGAAAATAAATAAATAAGGATGAGGACATTGTGTAAGCAATCTAGAGCAGATTGATTGCCGGTTTGTCTCCAAATACATGTACTCCAAAGTAACTGTTCTCCAAGGTCATATGGCCATATGGGACATACCGATGGTAATCCAAATCCGTGGACACACTCACACACGAGCCATGCACTGGTGGTTGTGTTGTCAGCTACTGACACCTCACCACCAGAAACAGGAGGGAATGACACACAACAATAAAAATAGAAGCCTTACCTGCTGGTTCAGCAGGGGTACTTTTCAAAAGGGGAGCAACAGCAGGCTGCAAGTAAACACACACACACACACACACACACACACACACACACACACACACACACACACACACACACACACACAGATCACACAGACAGATAAACTGACATGCACAGTCATGAGTTTCCAGCATGGGCAGTGTGCGTAAATACATGTAGCTGTCAGCACCCACGCAATGTAAGATAGTACAGAGCCAGCAAATCCCCCCCCCTGTGTAGGCGAGTGTACAGTACTGCTCAATGCAATCCAATCAAGTCACTTTTAAAGTATGCACCAGGCGTTGCACAGCCATAGACTTGTGAACACTGGGCTGCGAAATGATGCAAGGCGGAAACTTGAGTGACGTGGCTGGATTTCATTGAGCAGCACTGTACTAGTAGTCAAGACACTTGCTTGAAACTTAGATTCCGACTCATGAGGGAGGGCACACGGAAATACAGTTTCGGCCATTGCTCAGTACCAATGCCAATTGATAATTATGCTTTCACGGGGACACTGCTTGCACATGCAAGCACCGCAGGACGTACCCGGTCCGGTTTCTTGGCAGGCCGTCGGTTTATAACAGGGCCCGGAGCAGACATGGCTGTGTCCGACTGCACTTTCCGCTGGTCACCCAGCCGCTATAAAGGACAAACAGGAGACATGTCAGCTGGTTAAATTCAAGTAGAAGCAGTTAAGGAGCCAGTAAAGTATCAACCAAGGAATACATAGGGGGCGTTCGTCTGGTACAGACTGTAACAGAACTAGAACAGGGTCACTCGGAATTAGGGGTGAAACAATTATACGGAATACTCGAGTACTCACTCGGTTTTTTCAAAAACAATCGTACTCGGAATAAATCAGAGTACTGTTAACCGCCCAATATTCGCGTCACTAAATTTTCGCGATTTCTTAGAACCAGCGAGTTTGCGATGGTAAAAGTTCGCGAAACACTGGGGCCACTTACATCCCCCCACTGTTGAAGTTAGATTTCACGATGGTTAATATTCACGTTACGCTCTTCTCGCGAAAATAGCGAACATTAATCCGCCGCAAATATTAGGCAGTTTACAGTACTCGTTCATACATGGTACATGCATTTACCACAGAAATCTGCAGTCTTAGAGCAGCAGTCGGCAGATATTGATGTGCAGACTGTGCAGTGAACATTTGTTCACGAGCAGAGAGAGCCCAAATGACCCACCAACCAATATATCCGAGAAAAAATGACTGCCACTCGGTTCAATCAGGGCTGTATCATGTGATTTTAAGGCCCTTCAACCTTGGTGTGCAATTTTTAGGAGATGAAGAATACTCGAATACTCGAATATTTGATGGGAGAAAATCAGAGTACTCGAACTCGGAATCTCAGTGCCAACTTTCACCCCTACTCGGAATACGCGTGTTCGGCTGGTCTGCACCGGATCTCGAGCACACGGATTATGTTCTGGCAGCTCCAGGCCTTGAGGTGGAGCAGGCAGAGAAGTTTTTTTTGAGATTTTAGGGCTGCAACGGGTAGGAATTTGGTCGGGTAACGGGTTTGGGTACATGTATCTCTAACCGGGTAGCACGGGTACCCTATCGGGTATTTTTGACACAGCATGTACTGTGAGTGTGCACTTGCGCTACATAGAAAGTGTACAGTAAGCACGTATCCGTGCTGTTTACATGCACCGTTGCAAAAACACCGTACTCCAACTACCCGATCGGGTTATCAGGAGCAAATTGCTACCCT